CAAGCGTTTGAGGAGGGAAGGTGATCACTTTATAATACAGCTTCCTGCAACTAAGAAGAAATTTGCTCAGAAGAGATATGTTGTCTGTGCACAAACCAAACAAAACGACAGCAACAAAGATACAAAGACACTCGGTTTATGTGCGAGGAATGTAAGGTGCCTGTGTATGGTGCCTTGTTTCAAGGAGTTCAACAAGCTGCAGCAGTTCTAAAAACATGTTCAGTTATTGTACATATGCAAATATATAATAGAACATTAGTATGTTTATTGTAATAAACAAAAGTGGTAAACAATATTATAATAATAACTTTAGTGCAGTTATTGTGTTCAATACACTGAGTGTATATACATACATTATATATAGTATTGGTCTCACAGGCCACAAATGTTACTAGGAAAAGAAAAGAATTAGAAAAAAAAGAAAAAAGTATAAAAAATGTAAAATAAAGAAATGCGAGTTTGCGGAAATCACTGATGTTGCCGCCACCCAGTCATTTTGGGTCAACTTCTCGCCTCTCTCTCTCGGTAAGTACTGATCAGAAATTTTGTTTTGTTTTGTTTTATTACCTTCACAAAAATATACTCTTTAATTCTGTAAGAAAAAAATTTTTTTCTTTTTTTTTCTTCAAGATTTCTTGGACACTGGAGCACCCCTTCCGATTTTGGCCTTGGACCATGAAAGGGTTAATATTGTAACATACCATAAACCCCTCTTAGCCCTTAAACTGTCCAAAAGTAGATATATATTCACTCGCGTGGCGCTCCGAATATTTTGAAAAATTATTTTTTTTTTTTAAATGAAGAGCACATTTTTCTACATGTTAGAGGATGAAAAATTTTTTTTAGGGTCAGTATTTACCAAGATATAGGACTGTGAAATCGGCTCTGGATGCTCACCTGACAGCAACATCGATTCCTGCCGCTTGCAGAAGTGTTGCCTATGTACCTTTATTTTCTTGTTTTTATTTTTAAATATTTTTTATGTTTTAAGTAGTAGGTTGGTAAACAGCAACTGCCCAGGGAGGTACTACCATCCTGCCAAGTGAGTGTAAAACAAAAGCCTGTAATTGTTTTACATGATGGTAGGATTGCTGGTGTCCTTTTTTCTGTCTCAAACATGCAAGATTTCAGGTACGTCTTGCTACTTCTACTTACACTTAGGTCACACTACACATACATGTACAAGCATATAGTATATACACACCCCTCTGGGATTTCTGCTATTTTCTTTCTAGTTCTTGTTCTTGTTTATTTCCCTTTATCTCCATGGGGAAGTGAAACAGAATTCTTCCTCCGTAAGCCATACGTGTTGTAAGAGGCGACTAAAATGCCAGGAGCAAGGGGCTAGTAACCCCTTCTCTTGTATAAATTATTAAAAATTAAAAAGAGAAACTTTCATTTTTGTTTTTGGGCCACCCTGCCTTGGTGGGATATGGCCAGTTTGTTGGAAAGAGAAAAAAAAAGGAGAAAAAAAAAAGTATGTTCTGATAATTACAATTTATAATAGTTCTTGTAATTTCATAGCCAATCTTTGTTCTGACACTAATATTAGGTACTGAAATAGTGCTCAAATAGTCACAGTCACATTGACGGGTGAACATTTACACCTGCCCGGGTTATTTACTATTGTCTAGAAATATATACAAAGTATGTATAGGTCCCAGCAATGTTTTAGATACCCTGGCATATACCTTGAAGCATGTTGTTATGAAAGGCATCCCTATATTGTTGACAGCTTAGTGACATTCGATAAATGCCCACTGCTCCAGCTAACCCTCACTGTATTTATCACTGTTACACACAAACATGTCTTGTCTCTCTGTTTATTTATGTCTGCATCTATCTGTCTGTCTGTCTGTATCTGCCTGTCTGTCTATCTGCCTACCTGTCTGTCTGTCTGTCTCTGCTTATCTGTCTTTCTGTCTGCCTGGAGTATATGTATATCACACTCCTTGAAGAATCGTGTTATGACATCTGTTATCAGCTCGATGACACTTGATAAATGGGAGCTCGGGGAACCCTGGCTGTATTTGTTTTCACTGATACACACAAACATGTTTCTGTCTATCTGTCTATCTTTGCCTGGAATTTTTGGATTATCCTAGGTAATTTACACTATGTATAATAACTGAACTTATGAGTACATGTGAGACAGAGATATAGATAGACAGAGATCTTTCTTTTCTTTCAACACACCGGCCGTATCCCACCGAGGCGGGGTGGCCCAAAAGGAAAAACGAAAGTTTCTCCTTTTACATTTAGTAATATATACAGGAGAAGGGGTTACTGGCCCCTTACTCACAGATAGAGATGTAAACAGATAATGTAGACAGATAGAGATATAGACAGACAGCCAGCCAAAGCAAGCCAGCCGGCCAGCCTGCCGAATACATAAGAACAAAAGAAAGAAGGAACACTGCAGCAGGCCTACTGGCCCATGCAAGGCAGGTACATGTCCCCCCCCCTTAGACCAATGACCCATCTAGTCAGGTCACATCCACTGAAGGAAGAAGCATGACATCAGATTTAGTAGCACAAGCTTGTCAGGTCCAACTCACACCCACCAACACTCTTTCATGTATTTATCTAACCTATTTTTACTTTCCTCTTTAAATGGGAGTGTTAATGCAACATGGCATCAGTGAATCCCTGGAGTTTGCCACACTATTTGCTCTAGCTGGCGCTCAATTGAACTGGTGCTAACATAAAGTACTAAGTGCTCCCAGATTTTTTTAATAGTGCGCACACTGAGAGCACAGACCCATTCTTTCATTTCTAGGCGACTCAAGCGTATTGTGCCAAATTTGAAGGAATGAAAAATAAAACACTGATCTACGTTTGGAGCGCTACGCGTGCAAACATAGATCTATGTTTGGACAGTTTAAGGGTTAATATTGCAACAAATACAGTGTACCTCTCTTAATATTGTAACACAAAGTAAACCCCTCTTAATACTGTAACAAATACAATGTACCTCTCTTAACGTGACTCACGAAATCGTAATGACACGATTGCAAACAAACCATACCACGGGCAGGATTGAACCCGCGGTCAGAGAGTCTCAAAACGCGACACGACGGTCTGGAGTTTCGAGACTCTCTGACAGCGGTTCAATCCCACCCGTGGTATCGTTTACCTCTCTTAACCCTTTCAGGGTCGACAGGCCCTCTCAGAGACTTGTTCTCAGGGTCGCCCAAATTTCAAGAACAAAAAATTGTTTTTCTTATGAAAAGATAGAGAATCTTTTCCCGATCATAATGACACCAAAAGTATGAAATTTGATGGAAAACTTACGGAATTATGCTCTCACGAAGTTACCGGTCTCAATGATGTTTACGCATCGGCAATTTTGCCCACTTTGAGCCCTATTTTCGGCCAATTCCACTGTACTAGTCGACAAAAATCCTGAATATTTCGCTAGAACTCCAATTTTTCTATCGAATGAGTGCAAGAAGCCACCCATTTACCGATTTCAACTATCCAATACAGTGGTCAGAATTTAGCAATTTTGCCAATTTCAAAAGATGCCAATTTCCAAATAGAGTCCAGAATAAACAAGAAAGACATTCCTGGCACTAAAATGAAATTTCCTCTGTTCATTAGTCACGTCTCAACACCCCTCTTACATTCTTTTGCTTTCCACTTTGAACTTTTATTCTCACAAAAAATAGAAGATTTACTGTTATGCAGACTACTGCATTAGTGCAAAAAATGGTATAAATAATATTGGCGCACTTGTGAAAGAATATTAGACTCACCAGTCGACGTGTATTGGATGCTTAGCATGATTTGTTTACTTTTGAACGTCGATAAAAATCGAACATTTCTGCTACTTTGAGCTCAATTTCAAAGTACTTTTCATTGTAAAATCAGTAAAAAAATCTCAATTTCTGTAAAATGTCTTCCATTCTATAGAATGAGACCAGGAAAACTAGAATACAACAATAAATACCATACGAAAATACAGTGCAAAGTCGCTGTTTTAATCCAAGAACACGGTCAAAGTTTTTTTTTTCTCATTACGCACTGTGTGCTGCAGGATTTTTTTTATACTGTTCACACTGACCACATAGACCCATTCTTTCATATGTAGGCCTACCAGCCTTCTCTCACTAGATTTGAGGGCGCTAGAATTTAGGCGTACTAGTACGTCAAAAACCCTGGTGCGTAAGCCATACTAGTACGGCTGAAACCCTGAAAGGGTTAATATTGTAACATACAGTGGACCCCTCTTAATATTCTATTACAAAGATAACTGGATCTGGCAGGGTAAATTCTTCTATACTACAGTGGAAACCCGGTTTTCGTCTTTAATCCGTTCCAGAAGGTCGGCCAAAAACCGATTTGTATGAAAACTGAACTAATATTTCCCATAAGAAATAATGAAAATCCAATTAGTCAGTTCCAGACACCCAAATTTATTAACAAAATATACATTTTATAGACAATAATTATAGTTTTACACACAGAAAGCAATGAGACATAAATATAAAGCACTAATGAAATGGATAAATGAACATTTAACATCACTTTTACCTTTATTGAAGACTCTTGTTGATGTATGGAAGCCGGCGAGGAGGGGAGAGGGAGGAGAGGTTATCTCTACCACCATCACTACTACCCTCTACCACCATCACTACTACCCTCTACCACCATCACTACTACCCTCTACCACCATCACTATCACACTCTACCACCATCACTATCACACTCTACCACCATCACTACCAACCTCTACCACCATCACTACCAACCTCTACCACCATCACTACCAACCTCTACCACCATCACTACCACCCTCTACAGTAACAAAGGCAGACTGAGTCACAAACATATGAGCGGCTGCATCCCGTGGGCAGGCGGACACGTATGGTACGGACGATTTCCGAGCAGATGTACGAAAAAGGCAAAAATTTTGTGAAAAAAGTGGTCGAAAACTAAATTGCACGATAACCGGACCGGATGAAAATCAGGGTTATACAGTACAAAGATAACTGGACCTAGCAGGGTAAACTCTTCAATATTACAAAAATAACTGGACCTGGCAGGGCATACTACTATAATACAAAGATAACTGGACCTGGCAGGGCAGACTACTATATTACAAAGATAACTGGACCTAGCAGGGTAAACTCTTTTATATTACAAAGAATTGTGAACCTGGAAGAGTGAATTCTAGTACATTACGAAGTTGTTAACAACAATTAGAAGGCTAAACTGAGTTATCTTACCAAGATAATTAGGTCTGACAAAGTCGACCATACACCAGTACTCCAGGAGGTTGTTCTGGAGAGGGTAGCCGGTGAGTACGACACGGCGGCGAGTACGGATGTTCTTGAGAGCCTGGGAGATATTGGCATGGGCGTTCTTGATGCGGTGACCCTCGTCACAGATCACCAGGTCTGGACCTGGCTTCACCAGGGCCTTCTGAATCTCTGCAACACAAAACTTTCCTTAATGTCTGCACTAGCAGTAATGACTCATCTGTCTTCTCTTCTATCCCTGACTTAACAATTATTACTACCATTACACTAAACCTTCTCATAATACATAAGTTACATTCTTGAAAATGGGCTTACACACTAAAACAGTTAACCGAACAATATTTCTTCATCTTAACAAACCGGCCATCTTGCACCAAGGCAGGATGACCCCACAAAGAAACAAAAACATGTTCACTGTCACTCATTCAACTACTGTCTTGTCAGAGGTTTGCTGACATTACACTTCAGATGACCTTCCAATTTGCAACATCCCCACCACTCCTTCAGAGTGCAGGCACTGTATATCCCACAGTCACAACTCTACGTCTGGCTAACTGGTTTCCCAGAATCCCTTAACCCTTTCAGGGTTTCCAACGTACTAATATGGCTTATGCACCAGGGTTATTGACGTACTAGTAGTACGCGTAAATTCAAGTGCCTACAAATGAAGCGGGAAAAGGCTGGTAGGCCCAGATGTGAGAGAATGGGTCTGTGTGGTCAGTGTGCGTGGTAGGAAAAAAATCCTGGACCCATTGGTGCATTGTGGGAATGCCATTTTAGTAAACCTTGCTCACCATGCCTCAAGGTAAGAAACTCCTCACTCCTTGGCGAATTGGGACACTTTTGTTCCCCAGTGACAGTTCTAATACAGATGGAAGTGTCAGTGAAGATGAGTTTCAAGGTTATGACGAGGTTGTGACCGAAACTAATGACCATAATACCGGTAATAGTGAGGAAAACCCAGACGACCCTCAACCTTCCACCTCTGGTGCTGGGCCGTCTTGTTCACTTTCAGTTGTACCAGAACTAAAGAGGAAACTCTCATTTTCCCATATCCAGGACTCAGATGTGAGCAATGGTGATGATAGTGATAGTGAATATGAACTCCAAGCTCTTGAAAACAGTTCCAGTAGTGAGAGTGAAGTAGAATATTCTCCAGTGAAGTGTCAATATATACGACAGTATATGTGCTCTGTAGTGTGCCATATGCTATTCCAAGGAGAAGGAGTACATCTCGAAGTACATCCCGTGGCTGTACAACAGGAACAGATAGTGAAAATGAAGATGATAGTGTTGCAATTGGGATGGAAAATGTGCATGCATCTGTTGGTGGTAGTGGTGGTGCCATGCGTGAGGCACCAGCAGTGGGCCGTGCTGCCATCCACGCCGCTGACTCAGCAGAACTACAACAAAGGCCACCATCCCCCACCCACCCACCACACCAACCTCCACAACCACAACCACCTTTCAATATCCAGTACCCACCAGCAGATGGCACCTGCGACTGGCAGGAAGCTGACAATTTTGTTCCCAATCTCCATCACTTTGATGAAAGTCAAAGTGGAATATGGCCATCTTGTACACTTGGGAACAATGCCACTGAACTAGAATATTTTGAGTTATTCTTTCACGAACCCCTGATGGAAATTATTGTCAGGGAAAGCAACAGATACTTCGAGTACGCCATGGCAAACATAATACTTTCACCAAGATCACGCCTACACCAGTGGAAGGAGACAAATGTGGCTGAGATGTATCTTTTCTTTGCCACAATAATGCTTATGCCACATGTGTATAACAGTGTCAAATCATACTGATCAACAGATCTCCTGATTGCAAACCCAGGTTTCAGTGATATAATGCGAGTGAATCGATTTGTGCTATTAAGTATGCTTCACTTCTCAGACAAAACCAGGCCAGACAGAAACGACAGGTTATATAAGATTAGGAATGTGTTTGTGTATCTGAAACAGAAATTCAATATGTATTTTTATCCCATCATGAAGCTTGTTATTGACGAGTCTTTGATTTTGTTCAAAGGAAGACTCTCATTCAAGCAGTACATACCAAGCAAGAGGAAACACTTTGGTATTAAGTTATCTGTGCTTTGTGACTGCTACAGTGGTCTTTTACTGAATATTATTGTGTACACTGGAAGTTATACATTGCACAATACCCGGAAGTTACTGGGCATCTCTGGTGATGTGCTTAGAACAATGACGGGACCATATCTTGGGTAGGGGCATATATTATATACTGATAACTGGTACACAAGCCCCTCACTCAGTGATTTTTTGTGAGTGAACATGACAGATGTGTGTGGCACTGTGCGTGGAAATTGTAAGCATATGCCCAGGTTTGACGCTGGCACTCGTAGAGGTGAGGTGCAGGCATCTGCTGCCAATGACATCTTGGTTCCATTGTATCATATGGTACCATTGTACCAAATGGTGCCATTGTACCATATGGTACCATTGTAGCATATGGTACCATTGTATCATGTGCCATTGTACCATATTGTACCATATGGTAACATTGTATCATATGGTGCCATTGTACCATATGGTACCATTGCACCCTATGGCACCATTGTACCATATGGTACTGTATGGTACAATTGTATTCAACACAATAACCGCACTAATATTCTCATCATTTTGTTTACAATAAACTTGTAAACAAGTTTTGTAAGCAATATAATGATAAACAAATTAGTGCAGTTATTGTGTTGAATACAATGTGTGTACACTTATACAATATACATTATATTGGTCTCACAGGCCACAAATGTTACTAGAAAAAGCAAGAAAAAATAAAAAAGAAAAGAAAATGTATAAAAAATGTAAAAAAAAAAATGGGATTTTGCAGAAGTCACTGATGTTGCCGCCACCTGGTAATTTCCTGATCATAATGGCACCAAAAGTATGAAATTTGATGGAAAACTTACGGAAGTTAGCGGTCTCGACGATGTTTATGCATCGGCGATTTTGCCCACTTTGAGCCCTATTTTCGGCCAATTCCATTGTACTTGTCGACAAAAATCATAACTACTGTATTTTGCTAGAATTCCATTTTTTCTATCGAATGAGTACAAGAAACCACCCATTTACTGATTTCAACTATCCAATACAGTGGTCAGAATTTAGCAATTTTGCCAATTTCACACAAATTTTAAAAGATGCCAATTTCCAAATAGGGTTCAGAATAAACAAGAAAGACATTCCTGGCACTAAAATAACATTTCCTCTGTTCATTAGTCACGTCCCCAGGCCCCCTTACATTTCTTTTTCTTTCCACTTTGAATTTTTATTCTCACAAAAAAATAGAAGATTTACTGTTATGCAGACTACTGTATTAGTGTAGAAATGGTATAAATAATATTGGCGCACTTGTGAAAGAATATTAGACTCACCTGTTGACGTGTATTGGACACTTGGCATGATTTGTTTACTTTTGAACTTTGGTAAAAATCGAACATTTCTGCTACTTTCAGCGCAATTTCAAGGTAGTTTTCTTTGTAAAACCAGTCAAAATCATCTCAATTTCTGTAATATGTCCTTCATTCTATAAAATAAGACCAGGAAAACTAGAATACAACAATAAATACCATACGAAAATACAGAGCAAAATTGCTGTTTTAATCCAAAAACACGGTCAAAGTTTTTTTTTTCTAATTACGCACTGTGTGCTGTAGGATTTTTTTATACTGGCACACTGACCACATAGACCCATTCTTTTATATGTAGGCCTACCAGCTTTCTCTCACTCGATTTGAGGGCGCTAGAATTTAGGCGTACTAGTACATCAAAAACCTTGGGTCGTAAGCCGTACTAGTACGTCCGAAACCCTGAAAGGGTTAATTCCCCATAATTTAATCCCACCCCTCTCCCGAACACCCTAGCATCTACTTCTTTTACAACCCCATCTATAAACATATTAAACAACCATGGTGACATTACACATCCCTGTCTAAGAACTACTTTTACTAGGAAGTAGTCTCCCTCTCTTCTACACACCCTAACCTGAGCCTTACTATCCTCATAAAAACTCTTTACAGCATTTAGTAACTTACCACCTATTCCATATAAAGTGGACCCCCGCTTTACGATCAGCTCCCGATGCGACCAATTACGTAAGTGTATTTATATAAGTGCGTTTGTACATGTATGTTTGGGGGTCTGAAATGGACTAATCTAATTCACAATATTCCTTATGGGAACAAATTCGTTCAGTAATGGCACCTGAACATACTTCTGGAATGAAATAATATCGTAAGCCGGGGGTCCACTGTACTTGCAACATCTGTCACATTGCTTCCCTATCCACTCTATGCCTTTTCTAAATCCATATATGCAATAAAAACTTCCCTACCTTTATCTAAATACTGCTCAAATATATGTTTCAATGTAAACACTTGATCAACACATCCCTTACCCACTCTAAAACTGCCTTGCTCATCCGCAATTCTACATTCTGTCTTACCTCTAATTCTTTCAACAATAACCCTACCGTACACTTTCTCTGGTGTACTCAGTAAACTTATTCCTCTATAATTTTTACAATCTCTTTTGTCCCCCTTCTCTTTATATAAAGGGACTATACACGCTCTCCGCCAATCTCTAGGTACCTTCCCCTCTTTCATACATTTCTTCTTTCAACACATTGGCTGTATCCCACCGAGATGGGGTGGCCCAAAAGGAAAAACGAAAGTTTCTCCTTTTACATTTAGTAATATATACAGGAGAAGGGGTTACTAGCCCCTTGCTCCTGGCATTTTAGTCGCCTCTTACAACACGCATAGCTTACGGAGGAAGAATTCTGTTCCACTTCCCCATGGAGGTAAGAGGAAATAAACAAGAACAAGAACTAGTAAGAAAATAAAAGAAAACCCAGAGGGGTGTGTATATACTATATGCTTGTACATGTATGTGTAGTGTGACCAAAGTGTAAGTAGAAGTAGTAAGACGTACCTGAAACCTTGCATGTTCACGAGACAGAAAAAAAAAAAACACCAGCAATCCTACCATCGTGTAAAACAATTACAGGCTTCTGTTTTACACTCACTTGGTAGGACGGTAGTACCTCCCTGGGCGGTTGCTGCCTACCAACCTACTACCTACTTTCATACATTTATTAAACAAAAATACCAACCACTCCAACACTATGTCCCCCCCTCCCCTGTTTTTAACATTTCTGTCATGATTCCATCAGTTCTAGCTGCTTTATCCCCCTTTTATTCTACTTAATGCCTCACGCACCTCCCCCACACTCACATCCCGCTCTTCTTCACTCCTGAAAGATGGTATACTTCCCTGGCCAGTATATGAGACAGAGACAGAAATAGAGAAAGAGAGAGACAGAGACAGACAAAGATAGAGATAGATACAGACAGACAGAGACAGACAGAGCCAATCACCAGCCAGTAGCCGGCCAGTCAGCCTGCTGAACATGTATTATACGTTCCAGAATTGTTTCTTTTTACGTAGGGCATAGGTTATAGGACATTCTGGCAGGATGACACTACCAGTGGTACCAAAATATAAAGGATGTTGCACAAATGTTGCACATGGGTTATTATCGAGGTTTTTTATATTTCCTCGACCACTTGTGGGCACATCCACTTCAAAGCCACTAAACTTGGGGTCAATGTCACTTTTCTCTAAAAAGGGGAGTGTTAATACTACATGATATCAGTGAATCCCTGGTGTTTGCTGGGCTGTTTGCTCTAGCTGGCACTCAATTGAACTGGTGCTCCCACAAGGTACTAAGTGGTCCCAGATTCTTTTAATGCTGTGCACACCGAATGTTAAGACCCATTCTATGCTGACCAGGCATCTCAGGCCAATCGTGCCAATTTTGGAGGCAGGAAAAATAAAATGTAGATCTACGTTTGGAGTGCTAGCAGTAAGAACATAGGTCTACGTTTGGACAGTTATGAGGTTAACAGGTTAATAACTCTCCTCTCCTACTTTTAACTATCAAATCCATTAGTTCCCTAAGGTTTCTCAACTTATTGCTCTCACTCCAAAACTTTTTATTATTGTCAACAAACTTTGTTGATAGCATCTCACCCACCCTCTCATTTGCTCTCTTTTTACATTCCTTCACCACTCTCTTAACCTCTCTCTTTCTCTCCATATACTCCTCACTCTTTGCATCACTTCTACTTTGTAACTACTTTTTCTCTCTTACTACTCTTTGTACATTTCCATTCCACCAATCGCTCTTCTTCCCTCCCGCACCCACTTTCCTGTAACCACAAACTTCTGCTGAACACTAACACTATATTCTTAAACCTACCCCATACATCTTCAACCCCATTACTTATACTCTCACTAGCCCATCTATCCTCCAACAGTAGTTTATATCTTACCCTAACTGCCTCCTCCTTAATTTCATAAACCTTCATCTCTCTTACTTGCTGCTTCCAGTTTCCTTGTATCCCATCTACCTTTTACTCTCACATTAGGTACAACTAAAAAGTGATCCGATATATATGTGGCCCCTCTATAAACATGTACATCCTGAAGTCTACCCATCAGTCTTTTATCTACCATTACGTAGTCCAACAAACTATACTGTCATTTCGCCCTACATTATACCTGGTATACTTATTACCCTCTTTTTTGTAAAATATGTATTACCTATAACCAAACCCCTTTCTATACAAAGTTCAATCAAAGGGCTGCCATTATCATTTACACCTGGCACCCCAAACTTACCTACCACACCCTCTCTATATGTTTCTCGTACTTTAGCATTTAGGTCCCCTACCACAATTACTCTCTCCCTTGGTTCAAAAGCTCCTACACACTCACTCAACATCTCTTAAAATCTCTCTCTCTCTCTCTCTCTCTCTCTTCTGTACATTCTTCTCTTTTCCAGGTGCATACACACTTATTATGACTCACTTTTCACATCCGAACCTTATTTTAACCCACATTATCCAGGAATTTATACATTTATATTCCTTCCTCTCCTTCCATAACTGATCTTCAGCAATATTGCTACCCCTTCCTAGCCCTAACTCTCTCAGATACTCCTGACTTAATCCCATATATTTCTCCCCACTGAAACTCACCTACCTCTTCAGCTTTGTTTCTCTTAGAGCCACGACATCCAACTTCTTTTCATTCATAACATTGGCAATTTCCAAGAGAAGTGAAACTCTTGAAACTCTTCAAAGGTATATCAAAGGTAAGGTAAGGTTTTTTTTTTTTTTTTTTCAACAAGTCGGCCGTCTCCCACCGAGGCAGGGTGACCCAAAAAAGAAAGAAAATCCCCAAAAAGAAAATACTTTCATCATCATTCAACACTTTCACCACACTCACACATTATCACTGCTTTTGGAGAGGTGCTCAGAATACAACAGTTCAGAAGCATATACGTATAAAGATACACAACATATCCCTCCAAACCGCCAATATCCCAAACCCCTCCTTTAAAGTGCAGGCATCGTACTTCCCATTTACAGGACTCAAGTCCGACTATATGAAAATAACCGGTTTCCCTGAATCCCTTCACTAAATATTACCCTGCTCACACTCCAACAGATCGTCAGGTCCCAAGTATCATTCGCCTCCATTCACTCCTATCTAACACGCTCATGCACGCTTGCTGGAAGTCCAAGCCCCTAGCCCACAAAACCTCCTTTACCCCCTCTTTCCAACCCTTTCGAGGACGACCCCTACCCCTTCTTCCTTCCCCTATAGATTTATATGCTTTCCATGTCATTCTACTTTGATCCATTCTCTCTAAATGACCATACCACCTCAACAACCCCTCTTCTGCCCTCTGACTAATGCTTTTATTAACTCCACACCTTCTCCTAATTTCCACACTCCGAATTTTCTGCATAATATTTACACCACACATTGCCCTTAGACAGGACATCTCCACTGCCTCCAACCGTCTCCTCGCTGCTGCATTTACCACCCAAGCTTCACATCCATATAAGAGTGTTGGTACTACTATACTTTCATACATTCCCTTCTTTGCCTCCATAGATAACGTTTTTTGACTCCACATTAAACTTATTCCTCTATAATTTTTACAATCTCTTTTGTCCCTTTTCCCTTTATATAAAGGGACTATACATGCTCTCCACCAATCCCTAGGTACCTTCCCCTCTTTCATACATTTATTAAACAAAAGTACCAACCACTCCAACACTATATCCCCCCCTGCTTTTAACATTTCTGTCATGATCCCATCAGTTCCAGCTGCTTTACCCCTTTTCATTCTACGTAATGCCTCACGTACATCCACCACACTTACATTCTGCTCTTCTTCACTCCTAAAAGATGGTATACCTCCCTGGCCAGTGCATGAAATTAAAGGTAAGGTAAGGTTATCATCTCCATTACATCCATGCACATTCAAACATCCAGTTTTATAAAGTTTTCCTTTGTCTCTTTCTTAGCAGTTTATACAGGAGAAGGGGTTACTAGCCCATTGCTCGTGGCATTGTAGTCGCCTCCTACGACAGGCATGGCTTACGGAGGAAAGATTCTGTTCCACTTCTCCATGGAAACTTGACTTATGGTCAGTAATGTACAAGTGTTAAAAAAGTAAAGGTAGTTCTCACCTTCTAACAGTTCTTTGTTTTTATCTTCTTCCTCAATATCTACAATTTCCTTGTTATCTGCATCTTTCTTCTTCTTCTTGGGTTTCTTAGGCTTCTTGAGGGAGAGTTGACGGTAGAGTTCATAGCCCATGAGGAGGACTCCACCCGTCTCGTACCAATCGTTGATCACTTTGGCTCTCTGGTTGAGGTTCTTGAGGGAGTCGTTCAGCAGGAACACCTTGAACTTGCGACTCCACAGCTCGTAGCCGTCGGGGGTGGTAGGGGGGACGGTGCCATCCTCAGGAAGCCAGGCATTGTACTCGGCGTACCAGTTCTGCAGTGTGTTGATGGGCACAATGATCAACACCAAGCGTGCACCAGTGTGCCGCAGGAACACATCCGTAAATGACACAACCTGAAAAATTGTCAACAATTAGTTGAAACATTTACATAACCTAAACTAGAACAACACATTATTATTATTATTATCATTATTATTCTTTCTTTCAATGCACCGGCCGTATCCCGAGACGGGGTGGCCCAAAAGAAAAACGAAAGTTTCTCCTTTTACATTTAGTAATATACACAGGAGAAGAGGTTACTAGACCCTTGCTCCTGGCATTTTAGTCGCCTCTTACAACATGCATGGCTTACGGAGGAAGAATTCTGTTCCACTTCTCCATGGAGGTAAGAGGAAATAAACAAGAACAAGAACTAGAAAGAAAATAGACGAAAACCCAGAGGGGTGAGTATATATATGCTTGTACATGTATGTGTAGTGTGACCTAAGTGTAAGTAGAAGTAGTAAGACGTACCTGAAAAATTGCATGTGTACGAGACAGAATAAAAAGACACCAGCAATCCTACCATCATGTAAAACAATTACAGGCTTTCGTTTTACACTCACTTAGCAGGACGGTAGTACCTCCCTGGGTGGTTGCTGTCTACCAGCCTACTACCACAGGACGGTAGTACCTCCCTGGGCAGTTGCTGTCTACCAACCCACTACCAAGCATTATTATTATTATTATTATTATTATTATTATTATTATTATTATTATTTATTATTATTATCTGGTCACAAACCTAACACAGTGTACCCTGAACACTGTTAGTGACCACTGTTTCTCTAAGTACCCAGGTTCAAAGATCACTATTGGGTACCCAGGTTCAAACATCACTACTGGGTACCCAGGTTTAAACATTACTACTGGGTACCCAGATTTAAACATTACTACTGGGTACCCAGGTTTAAACATTACTACTGGGTACCCAGGTTTAAACATTACTACTGGGTACCCAGGTTTAAACATTACTACTGGGTACCCAGGCCCATGCAAGGCAGGGCCTACTGACCCTGCCTTGCATGGACCAGTAAGCCTGCTGCAGTGTTCCTTCTTTCTTACGTTCTTATGTATTCAGCAGACTGGCCAGCTGGGTTGTTTTGGCTGTCTCTCTGTCCGTATCTCTGTCTATATCTCTATCTATATCTCTGTCTATCTAGATATCTATCTATATATATCTCTATCTATATCTGTCTCACATGTACACATACGTACAGTTATTAAAGTGTAAATTACCTAGGATAACCCAAAAATTCCAGGCAAACATAGACAGACAGACAGACAGAAACATGTTTGTGTGTATCAGTGAAAACAAATACAGCCAGGGTTCCCCGAGCTCCCATTTATCAAGTGTCACCAAGCTGATAACAGATGTCATAACACGATTCTTCAAGGAGTGTGATATACATATACTCCAGGCAGACAGAAAGACAGATAAGCAGAGTCAGACAGACAGGTAGATAAATAGACACACACACAAGACATGTTTGTAATGCAGTGAGGGTTAGCTGGAGCAGTGGGCATTTATCGAATGTCACTAAGCTGTCAACAATATAGGGATGCCTTTCATAACAACATGCTTCAAGGTATATGCCAGGGTATCTAAAACATTGCTGGGACCTATAAATACTTTGTATATATTTCTAAACAATAGTAAATAACCCAGGCAGGTGTAAATGTTCACCTGTCAATGTGACTGTGACTATTTGAGCACTATTTCAGTACCTAATATTAATGTCAGAACAAAGATTGGCTATGAAATTACAAGAACTATTATAAATGTAATTATGAGAACATAAAAAATATATAAATTAAAATAAAAAAGACAAAAAAGGTACAACGGCAACACTTCTGCAAGCCACAGGAGACGATGTTGCTGACAGGTGAGCATCCAGAGCCAACTTCACAGTCTTATATCTCAGTAAGTACTGACCCTAAAAATTTTTTTTTAATCCTATAACATGTAGAAATATGTGCTCATCATTTTAAAAGATTTTTTTTTTTTTTTTTCAAAATATTTGGAGCGTCACACGAGTGAACGTAGATCTACGTTTGGACAGTTTAAGAGTTAAACATCACTACAGTATACCCAGGTACAAAAATCAGTATAGTATATCCAGGTTCAAACATCACCATAGGATACTCAGGTTTAAACATCTCTACAGTATACCCAGGTTCAGACATCACTACAGGATACCCAAGTTTAAACATCACAACAGGTTACCCAGGTTCAAACACCACAACAGGATACCCAGGTTTAAAAATCACTACAGTATACCCAGGTTCAAACATCACAACAGGTTACCCAGGTTTAAACATCACTATGGTATACCTAGGTTTAAACATCACTACGGAATACTCAGGTTTAACCCTTTGACTGTTTCAGGCCCCTCTCTGAAACTGTCATTCTATGTCGCTCAATTTTTGAAAAAAAAAAATTATTTTTTCTTATGAAATGAAAGAGAATCTTTTCCCGATGGTAATGACACCAAAAGTTCGAAATTTGGTCGAAAACTCATGGAATTATGCTCCCGCGAAGTTAGCGGTCTCGGCGACATGCGTATCGGCGATTCCGCCGACTTTGAGCCCTATTTTCAGCCAATTCAATTGTTCCAGTTGACCAAACTCATAGCTATTTCTTTAGAACTCCATTTTATCTATCAGCTGAGTACAAGAAACCTCCCATTTACTAATTTGGACTACCCAATATGGTGGTCAGAAATTGGCAATTTGGCCAATTTCACGCAAAATAAAAAAGAAGCCAATTTCAAAATAGGGTCCAGAATAAACAAGGTAGACATTCGTGGCACTAAAATAACATATGCTCTGTTCATTAGTCACATCTCTAGGCCCCTCTTATATTATTATTGCTTTCTATTTTGATTTTTTATTCATACAAAAAATACAAAATTTACTGTTATGCAGACGACTGCATTATTGTAAAAATGGTATAAATAATATCAGTGCACTAGTGAAAGAATATTAGACTCCCCAGTTGACGTGTATTGGACGTGTGGTGTGATTTATTTACTCTTGAACATTGGTAAAAATCGAACATTTCCGCTACTTTGAGCTCAGTTTCAAGGTCGTTTTCATCGTAAAAGTAATGAAAATCATCTCTATTTCTGTAATATGTTTTCCATTTTATCACCTAAGACCATGAAAACGCGAATACAACGATAAATACTATACGAAAATACACCTCAAAGTCGGCGTTTTATTCCAAAAAAACGATCAGTTTTTTTTCTCATTACGCAATGTGTGCTGCAGGATTTTTTTTATGTGGTGCACATTGACCACACAGACCCATTCTCTCACATGTGGGCCTACCAGCTTTCTCCCACTTGATTTGAAGCCGCTAGAATTATTGAGTATATATACGTCAGAAACATTGGCTCGTAAGACGTATTTATACGTCGAAAACAGTCAAAGGGTTAAACATCACTACAGTATACCCAGGTTCAAACATCACTACAGGATACTCAGGTTTAAATATCACAACAGGATACCCAGGTTTAAACATCACAACAGGATACCAAGGTTTAAGCATCACAACAGTATACCCAGATTTAACCCTTTGGGAGTTGACAGGTCCTCTCAAAGACTTGTTCTCAGGGTCGCCCAAATTTCAAAAAAAAAAAAATTGTTATTATTTCTTATGAAAAGATAGAGAATCTTTTCCCGATCATAATGACACCAAAAGTATGAAATCTGATGGAAAACTTATGGAATTATGCTCTCGTGAAGTTAGTGGTCTCGACGATGTTTATGCATCGGCGATTTTGCCCACTTTGAGCCCTATTTTCGGCCAATTCCAGTGTACTAGTCCACAAAAATCATAACTATTTTGCCAGAACTCCATTTTTTTCTATCAAATGACTACAAGAAACCATCCATTTACCGATTTCAACTATCCAATAAAGTGGCCAGAATTTAGCAATTTTGCCAATTTCACACAAATTTCAAAAGATGCCAATTTCCGAATAGGGTCCAGAATAAACAAGACAGACATTCCTGGCACTAAAATAACAAGTTCTCTGTTCGTTAGTCACATCCCCAGGTCCCTCTTGTATTTCTTTGGCTTTCCACTTAGAATTTTTATTCTTACAAGAAAAATAAGATTTACTGTTATGCAGACTACTGCATTAGTGTAAAAATGGTATAAATAATATCAGCGCACTTGTGAAAGAATATTAGACTTGCCAGTTGATGTGTATTGGACGCTTGGCATGATTTGTTTACTTTTGAACTTTGGTAAAAATCGAACATTTCTGCTACTTTGAGCTCAATTTCATAGTACTTTTCATTGTAAAATCAGTCAAAATCATCTCAATTTCTGTAATATGTCTTCCATTCTATAAAATGAGACCAAGAAAACTAGAATACAACAATAAATACCATACCAAAATACAGTGCAAAGTAGCTGCTTTAATCCAAAAACACGGTCAAAGTTTTTTTTTCTCATTACTCACTGTGTGCTGCAGGATTTTTTTTATACTGCACACACTGACCACATAGACCCATTCTTTCATATGTAGGCCTACCAGCTTTCTCTCACTCGATTTGAGGGCGCTAGAATTTAGGCGTACTAGTACGTCAAAAACCCTGGGTCGTAAGACGTACTAGTATGTATGTCCGAAACCCCCAAAGCGTTAAACACTATGGGGTCACCACCAAATAATAATAATCATAGCAGTATACACTGCTATGATTCACATCCTAGTCTATATACACTGCTATGATTCACACTCTTGCCTGTATACACTGCTATGATTCACATCCTTGTCTGTATACACTGCTATGAATCACATCCTTGTCTGTATACACTGCTATGATTCACATCCTTGTCTGTTTACACTGCTATGATTCACATCCTGTCTGTATACACTGCTGTGATTCACATCCTTGTCTGAATACACTGCCATGATTCATATCCTCGTCTGTATACACTGCTATGACTCACATCCTGTCTGTATACACTATGATTCACATCCTTGTCTGTATACACTGCTACGATTCACATCCTTGTCTGAATACACTGCTATGATTCATATCCTCATCTGTATATACTGCTATGATTCACATCCTCATCT